TTTATTTATTTATTTATTTATTATTATTATTTTTTTTTATTGCGAATTTATTGAATATTTAGAAGTACAGTAGTAAGCTTTACTTGCAGCTGTTTAAAAATTAAAAAAAACTTTAGCATGTGACAAACAAATGACAATTTTTAAAGTCTTAATAATGCAATTAAATGACCATTAAAAAAAGATACATTTTTATGTTGCGTCTTCCAGTCGGCAGACTAGACTGTATCTGCGTAGACAATGTGAAATTAACCACATTAGACACGTGTGCTTTCTTTTTTCTCTCTTTACCTTTCAGCTATACTGGGCCACAGCAAAGCATGGCCGGAAACAACTAGTTTTGAATACAAATCAAACACAGTTGAATGAGAGCTCTTCTCAACCACAAGAAAGGGATATATTTTGGTCGTATTATGCCAATGAAAAAAAAACATAAAGGAGATAGTTTGAAATTGCATTTTACAGTGATCGGCCTGTGAGTTAAAGTCCATTTTGTTTTTGTAAAATCTGCCTGGTACGAGTTGGAACACAAGAACGTTGGGCCAGTTGGTGTGGCCATCTTGTCTGTCTGTGGGTGGAAATAGTGGTCACATTTTGAATTACACTTTCTTGTCATTGGTTCGTGTTGAATGAAGTTAACAGCATTTCGTTGCTGTTTTCAAGCGCTGTAACAAGTCCTAAACACGTACATTCACAAAACACCCTTGTTTGGGTGATACATCATAACTCAGAATAGGATGTGAGTAAATTGCCGACATTCAGACAGGAAACGGAAAACATTTAAAATTGTCAAACAAACGATCAACGAATGTTCGTTGATGTGACCAAGCCATGTGAAACACAAGTAGGCCACATCCAACACTTGACAAACACTCGAACTTTTTCTAATTCTTACAACCGGCAGTGATTCATCACCAGCCGGCCTCCTACTTGAGACATCAAGCGGATGTATATGATGTAATAAAGTCTGGGGCTTTACTGAATGAAGTGCATTACTTTTATTTGAAGTATCTCACAATGGAAAAACTTACTAGGCCCTCAGGAAACACGGAATAATTGGCGGCCCGGGGGTGGGGGGTGGGGGGGGGGGGTTAAACGGTGGGTAAAATTAATGTTTCTATATCTGTGCTGTAGTCACTCACCACACCCCATCCCCCCCCCTTTTTTCCGTTGGATTTGTGGATTATTATTATTGCACAGCAATGTGCATACAAAATAGAGGAACTGATAATGATATAAAATACAAATATAAAAGGGAAAAGAAGTTTTCATAGCACTAAGATGTATGCGGAAGTCAAAAGAAATTAAAGATATTAGAAAACTTGAAATATTTAACTCCAGTGTGAAATCAGCACTGTTTAATGGCGCAGATACACGGAAAACGACTAAAATTATGATTCGGCTTGATTTGGCTTCATATGCTTGCGGGCAGTGGCAACTGACATGCAGATTAATGAATGTTTCTTTTCTGTAAATAGCAAACAAAACTGAACAACGTGCAGACACCGAGGAACATTCCTCGAAACACTAGAATATCAAAGATTGCCATAATCCACTGACTGATAATTCCAATATCACGGTGTGGTAGCGTCACAAGAGATTGTCCGACTCTGACGGATGATATTTCACAGAAAATATCTTCTCTCTTCTCACCAATGCTAGGAATCTCAACAACGTTAATGAGACTGCGGGGTGAGAAGTTTGACGTCCGTGTGCCACACGCACACAACAAAGGCCGTTCTAATGCTTGTGAATCCAAGCAGGGTCATGGTTGGGTTGCGAGTAGGGCAAGACATTTGCATACAATGCTGACGTTTGAAACAGAAACGTAGGCGCCAGGAATATAATTTCCCCACAAGAGACCACCCAAAACACACTTCACACAGCTCATACATCAATCAGAAAAAGTCGTACTTTACTTATCCGATAGCTTGTTGTACCCGTGGAATACAAAACTAGATCAATAGGCTCAATACAGCTTTACTTTAGCTAAAGCTTTACTTGAGCTTCCAAATAAGGATATTAACTCCAGAAAAACTGTACGTTGTCTAGTGGATGATGAGATATGAGCAGGGTTCATGAAATGAAGACAAAAACAAGGTCCGTGAGTGAGACAAGAACAAGGTCCGTGAGTGAGACAAGAACAAGGTCCGTGAGTGAGACAAGAACAAGGTCCGTGAGTGAGACAAGAACAAGGTCCGTGAGTGAGACAAGAACAAGGTCCTCGAGTGAGACAAGAACAAGGTACTTGAGTGAGATAAGAACAAGGTCCGCGAGTGAGACAAGAATAAGGTCCGTGAGTGAGACAAGAACAAGGTCCGTGAGTGAGACAAGAACAAGGCCCGTGAGTGAGACAAGAACAAGGTCCGTGAGTGAGACAAGAACAAGGTCCGTGAGTGAGACAAGAACAAGGTCCGTGAGTGAGACAAGAACAAGGTCCGTGAGTGAGTTAAGAACAAGGTCCGCGAGTGAGACAAGTGCAGAACCCACGAAGGGAGAAGACGATGACCACGACGGCCATTATCTGCAACCGTTTCATTGACATCCAGATGTAAATGTTTGAGTCAGCACAAGATCGTCTCCGGTAGAATAGTCGAGGCGGCCTTTTGGTCAGCATGTTTGGGCAGACTTGTTTGGGGAGATTTGTTTGGGCAGACTTGTTTGGGGAGATTTGTTTGGGGAGATTTGTTTGGGGAGACTTGTTTGGAGAGATTTGTTTGGGCAGACTTGTTTGGGGAGACTTGTTTGGGGAGATTTGTTTGGGGAGACTTGTTTGGGGAGATTTGTTTGGGGAGATTTGTTTGCCGTGAGATTGTTCACGATGGGAGCTGTTGTGGTGTAGCAGCTAGACGCTCGCCTACGGATCCGAAGGTCGTGGGTTCAGATCTGAACGGATTTTTTTTTTCAGAAATGACCTTGGCTCCCAGGCTGGCCAAGCCTTAAATAGGCACCAGGTAAATTCCTGGGAAATAAAGGCGACCTGCGTAAAGCAGAACATATCGACGCACACATTACATGTAAAATAGACAAGATAAAATAATTGGCATATTGTTTACAGATAAAATAAAATACAAATACAAGACTTAATTGTCGAGTTTTTATTAGCGATTTTGTTAGCTTCCTACATTCTGTATGTGAGTAAATTAATGACACAACAAGGAATACATACTTCCAGAGAGAACATGTTTCAGTTTCTAATTCTTTTTTTTTTTTTTCAAACACAAACGTTCATGTTTAATAAAAGCCTCATGAAAAAGATGTCAAATCAAATGACAAATAGAAACAGTCAGCTTCACATGATCACAAACGATAAGTGAACGTTTTGGTTTGACAACTTTCATCAGCACATACATAAATCTAGAATACCACAAATTTCTACAGGAATACACCGGATCTCTTAGCTGATGATCATCATCATGTAGCAGGTCCTTTGCAGAACGTCGCTATCATCACAGTCTGCCTGAAAGAAACTCGGTCTCTCGCCAGTTCTCCTGCCTGATGTACTTTCATACTCAAGGAGTCATTTATATCCTATGCTAATCTTTGTGTCGGTCGGTCCCTGTCCCTCCTTCCTGGTACCGAAAAAATGTATGATGAGTTTCTTGGGATAGTAATAAGGTAGTTTCCCGTTTCTTTCTACATCCACATGGCTTTAGACTACGTCCTCAGCCTTCAGCAACCACTTATCCCGGTAAATACCATCCTCTACCGCGTGGAGGTGTAGTTGGGGTTTTCCCTTTACTGAGTCTTGAGACCAGAATGGCATTTCCCAAAACTCCCCAGGACTAGCTGATGATATCTTAGGGAAATCACATTTTTTTCTGGTTAGTTGAATGACTACAAATAAAAGCCAAAAAAAAAAAAAAAAAACGCTTGCTGGTTCATGACAGTAGTGTTTGATAATGGACATTTATCCTGCATGTAGACACATGTCGGTTTGTCTGGCAGACATTCAGTAGGATCCTCACGTGTCTCACATTTCAACTTGATGAGTTACCTTCGGAACTTTTCAAAACAATAAATAAGGGTTGTGTTCTGTGACCTGATTTATTCAATTTGAGCAGCAAAATAATAATTAGATCCATAAATGGTATGCCAGGAATATCGGTTGGTAGGCATATTGTTAACAGTCTGCGATATGCTTACAAAATAGTTTTGATCGCTGAAAATAAAACACAACTGAGAGAAAATATGGATATAATTGGAACATAAAGTGAACACAAGGGTCTTAGTTTCAACAGCAGGAAAACAGAAGTAATGGTGGTGATAAAGAAAACTGACCCTCCAGAATACAACAACATCAAAGTAAACGAGACAAACCTCAAGCAAGTTGATATGTTTAAGTACTTTGGTACCCTGATAACTTTAGATGGAAGAGATTTCTTAAAAGTTATATAAATCCTATATTCATATACTGAAGTGAATCATGGACAGTTAGTTAATTAGTGTAAACTTTTTTGGAAGCAGCACAGATGTGGTTTTATAAATGAATGATGAGAATACACTGCACATATAAAATAGTAATGGAGACATATTGAAAGAAACTGACTCAAGAAGAGAACTGATTGCCCACATCAGAAAGAGACAATCTACATTCTTTGGTTATATGATGAGAGGGAGAAAACTGGAATACATTATGACAGTAGGAAAGTTAGAGGGGAGGAGAGGCAGAGGAAGACACACACCAAAAAAAAAAACCAGATGCTGGACAGTTTGGCACCATGGCTTAGAGCTTCATCTGTGTCAAAGTGAAAGTACGCGAGACAGGAGGTTGTGGATAGACATGACAACCAATGCCACACGGCATGGACACGAGACAGGAGGTTGTGGATAGACATGACAACCAACGCCACACGGCATGGATCTAAAGAAGAAGAGTTATCGTTAGCAGCTGTGTGTGTTTATGTTTCTGTTGTAATCCCCACGTTGCTTGTTCCACCTGTTTCAGATGTGTGTTTATGTTTCTGTTGTAATCCCCACGTTGCTTGTTCCACCTGTTTCAGACCTCCAAGGGAAATTGCCTTCAGAAGGTATTACAGCTTCGTTTCCTTCCCATCCTCACATTCGCCTGGAACTGTACAGCTTTTGTGACTTCGTAAGTGTTTTTTTGTATTTATACAGAAGCTTTATCTGGTTTTAGAAGTTCCATTGTGTTCTTGCTTAAAGAGTCAACTATGTGCATTCACTGTTGTTTAAACTGGCCAGTTTGTACTATAATACATAGATGCATAGTTGTTGGACCTGGCCAGCAAGGCTTTCTCAGACTTTGTTCTCATATCCATTATTCCTTGTTTGATTTATAGAACTACATTCCTGATGTCCATAATCCTTGTTTGATTTGTAGAATGACATTTATAATGTCATTGTTGCTTAGATCTGTATAACGTTCACATGACAAGTAATGTTGCTTTCCATGTATTCTCTGTTCAACATTCGAAGCTCATATCTCTGTTTTCAGTTACGCTATAGCAGTCAGCAAGGGACATGTAGAACCTGACTTCCCCTACATAAGGTAGGTTGGACACAAGCAGACACATAGACACAAGCAGACACACACAAGCAGACACACACTCACAAGCAGACACATGCAAGCACACACACAAGCAGACACATAGACACAAGCAGACACATAGACACAAGCAGACACATAGACACAAGCAGACACATAGACACAAGCAGACACATAGACACAAGCAGACACATAGACACAAGCAGACATATAGGCACAAGCAGACACATGCAAGCACACACACAAGCAGACACATAGACACAAGCAGACACACACTCACAAGCAGACACAAGCAGACACACACTCACAAGCAGACACAAGCAGACACACACTCACAAGCAGACACAAGCAGACACACACTCACAAGCATACACACGCAAGCACACACACAAGCACCAGCACACACACGCAAGCATATGCACAAGCAGACACACACATACACATAAAAGCACATACACAAGCAGACACACGATCACAAGCACACACACAAGCAAACACACACAAGCACACACACACACACAAGCACCAGCACACACATGCAATCATATACACAAGCAGACACACACACACATATAAAAGCACATACACAAGCAGACACAACTCACAAGCATACATACAAGCAAACACACACAAGCACACACACACACGCAATCACACACACAAGCACCAGCACACACATGCAAGCTTACACAGAAGCATACACACAAGCATACACACAAGCATAAAATCAAGCACACACACACAAGCAATCACACAAGTATACTCATAAGGACATACACAAACAACACAAGCATACACACACACAAGCATACACACAAGCATACACACAAACACACATACACAAGCAATCACAAGCACACACACATAAGCATGCACACACTTGGACTGTTTCACAAATGAAGTCAGTACTCACACTGCTGGACATTATCTCAGTGATTACCCTCTGTACATCAAACTGGGAAACACATACTGGCCTTTAGAACAGCACAAACACTAAAAACTACAGGATGTGTGCAACAACACAACAACTGCTACAGGTAACTCAGTTCATAATAAACATTCTGAAAGTATTATCATCACAATCATGAATAAGGATAATAATGATAGTAATAATAATAATCATAATTAGAAGAAGAAGAATTAGAACAAAAAGAACATAACAACCCGGTGTGGTAAATTACCACAGAGGGTCAGAAACAGGCAAAAACAAGATTACACATATTTGCTTTTGTAAAGTTATTGTGCATGTGTCTGTGTGTGTGTGTGTGTGTGTATGTAATGTGTCAGTGTGTGTGTGTGTGTGTGTGTGTGTGTGTGCGCGCGCGCGCGCGTGCGGGTACGTGCGTGCGTGCGTGCGTGCGAGCAAGACTGTATAGAAGAGAAACATGGAGATGGAAGAAAACAGTTACCAATAAACCACAAAGACTCATTAACTAGTGCCTGCACAACCTGGAAGGAATTAACAGAATCACTCATGATGAACTTTTGGACAGAACTAAACCAATTTCAGTTAATCTAAAGGTGAAGAGAACAAGCTGGCACAGAATAGCACACAAAATGAGAAAAACCTGATAATAAGTAACCAGGATTTTAAAAAATACGGACCAAACAATACATTGTACAATACATTTCCTAGCATATTTCGCTGTATCTGGTCAGGTACATTACTACACAGTTAAGTCAACATATAATAGATCATAGAAATGAATCTTTTTCAATGAAATTCAAAATCACATTGTCATTATCAAGTTAGGCTGAACATCTGCTGATTGGAAATTCTAGATCAATGAGGTGATTACCATGGTAACTTTAAATTTATCACATGATCTTTTTGTTTACATAAAACAAGAGCATTCAGTTGTGCTGATATGGTCTCGATTTGTCCTTACATTTGAACCAGCAGCGCAAGAGTTCAACGGAGACCTAAAAACAAATGGAGAAGGGAATTAACAACAGAGAGGAGTCACCGGAGGAGAAGGTGGAGTTAATCCTACAAGATGATAAAGGAATGGATAGTGTAACATTTATGGGCTGAGGGTCAATGTTCTGATGTGAAATTATCAGCAGAATAAGAATTTGATAAGCAGGTTTGTGTGCTGGTCACATAATTTAGGTAATGTTATCATCATGTTGTTGCTTGAAGTGTCCTCCCAATGATCTATTTCAGCCATACAGCGGTGGAGGTGCCAGAGCGGGGCATTTTCAGCCAAATGGTTAATTTAGGAGCCCTCATGTGTGAGTTGCATTATTTGTCTACATACATTACTTAATGCCTCCTATCACGGATGTTTAGAGTTCAGTCCTACCCCATATCCCTGGTACACAATTTAAGGACATTGTGTATATCATCATCATGTGCTGTGCTGGTAAGTCTGGACAACTGTGAGTCTCTGTCTTACAGGACTTAGTGTCCATGATTCAGTCTGTGTCTATAATCTGCTGTGGCAGCTGGCCAGTACACAAGACAGACAGACAGACAGACTGACTGACAGGCAGGCAGACAGACAGGGATGCAAGTGGATGTAGTAGCTGAGACTAAATCAAGTGGAAAGATTAAAAACAAAAGAATAAGGAGGAGCCAGGTTAGAAGTAGATGAAGCAGGAGTGGGAGAACAAGAACAAAAACAACGGGAGGAAAGGAAGAAATAGAAGAACAATTAACGTACCTAGAAGTTTGTAAAATTTACTAATAAAGGAAATACCCCTTGTCTGTTTTCCCAGAGACGTGTATTTGAACATATTTAAAAAATAGCTGGTTGCCACAAAACTGGCTGTGTGCATATTGCAGTAATGCTTGTGCACCAACTGGCTAATCATGACTGCTTCTTCCATTAACCATGAATGGTAATTCTGGTGATGGACTGTAAGTGCTGGCACTCTGGAGACTGCCTTATGCATTTGATGTGTGTGCAAGCTGACGAATTTTTCTGGGACTGCTGTCTGTTTGACTCTTCAAATGTGACAGAAATGGAGCAATTATGGGGCAAACTATTTTTAATAAAGATGGAGCCAGGACTGATAGCCTAATTTTCTAATAAACAACATACATTTGCATTCATGTACATACAAGTGCATTCATGTACACACACATGCATTCATGAACACACACATGCATTCATGAACATACACATGCATTCATGTACATACACATGCATTCATGAACATACATATGCATTCATGTACATAAATGTGCATTCATAAACATACACAGGCATTTATGTACATACACAGGCATTTATGTACATACATGTGCATTCATGTGCATACATGCGCATTCATGTACATACATGTACATCCATGAACATACATGTGCATTCATGTGCATACATGTGCATACATGTACATTCATGTACATACATGTGCATTCATGTACATACATGTGCATTCATGAACATACATGTGCATTCATGAACATACATGTGCATCCATGAACATACATGTGCGTTCATGTACATACATGTGCATTCATGTACATACATGTGCATTCATGTACATACATGTGCATTCATGAAAATACATGTACATTCATGGACATACATGTCCATTAATGAACATACATGTGCATTCATGTACATACACATGCATTCATGAACATACACATGCATTCATGTACACACATGTGCATTCATGGTGTGTATTTACTTCCAATCAGACATGTTGTTATTATGTACCCTGTTCTTGTCCTCGGCAGTTGCAGCCAACATGTACATCAAATACCTTCAGGTCAAGGCTGTCATCCTGACCACAACGTCTGATCGTCCTCGTGACAGACGTCTTAATATTGCATCCCTGGTTGTCGGCTTCACTTCAGCTGTGGGGATGACTGTAGTGGCAAACTTCCAGGTCAGTCTTAGTGGTCGATTGCTCATCCGCCTGTTGATTTGTAGTGTCTGTGTGCTATACACATCTAATGACATCTAGTGTTTGTGTGCTATACACATCTAATGACATCTAGTGTTTGTGTGCTATACACATCTAATGACATCTTGTTTCTGTGTGCTGTACACGTATGATGACATTTAGTGTCTCTGTGCTATACATGTGTGATGACATCTAGTATCTGTGTGCTATATACATGTGATGATATTTAGTGTCTGTGTCCTATACATATCTAATGACATCTTGATTGTGAGTGCTATACACATATAATGACATCTAGTTTCTGTGTGCTATACACATTGATAACATCTAATGTCTGTGTGCTATATACATCTGATGACATCTAGTGTCTGTGTACTATACACATTGTTGACATGTAGTGTCTGTGTGCTATACACAATGGTGATATGTAGTGTCTGTATGCTATACACATTGGTGACATGTAGTGTCAGTGTGCTATACACATTGAGGAAATCAAGTGTCTGGGCACATTACACATTGATGCAATCTAGTGTCTCTGCGATATACACATTGATGACATCTAATGTCTGTGCAATATACACATAACATCTTGTATCTATGTGCTATAAAAATCTGATGACATCCAGTATCAGTGTGCTATACACATCTGATATCATCTAGTGTCTGTGTACTATACAACCTGATGTCAATTAGTGTATGTGTGCCATACACATTGATGACATCTAGTGTCTGTGTGCTATACATGCTGATGACATCTAGTGTCTATGTTCTATAAACACTGGTAACATCTAGTGTCTGTGTGCTATACACACTGATGACATCTAGTGTCTGTGTGCTATACATGCTGATGACATCTAGTGTCTGTGTGCCATACATGCTGATGACATCTAGTGTTTCTGTTCTATAAACTCTGATGACATCTAGTGTCTGTGTGCTATACATATTGATGACATCTAGTGTCTGTGTGCTATACACACTGATGACATCTAGTGTCTGTGTGCTATTCTGCTGACATCTATTAGATATTATTTCGGTGGCTCTGCTATCTAAATCTACAATTTTTAATACAACTTTGACAACCCAGCAGAAATATCTTCATGAGTAACCTAACATCTGACTGTGTCTTCTTCAGACTCGGGTGATGCGTGAAGCCCACTACACAGGTGCCTTCTTGGCTTTCACGGGCGGCATGATCTACTGCTGGCTGCAGACGTCGCTGTCACTCATCCACAGACCCTGGTCGAAGATAACTGTCTTCCAGATCACCAACAGCATTTTACTGACAATTTTTCTCTTCATGTGTATCCTTGTCACACAAAAACTGAAATAAATTGAAATAATTTATGAACAATGTGCTTCAGGGAAAAGGATGCATTGAATTAAAGTGAATAATCCATGTTGTGGAACATCAGAATGATATGTTAGGTTAAAAGTTTCAGACTGCACCAAAAATCTGGCTGTGTGCTTTCTGAGACCCCATTTAGAGAGACAAGTAATAATAGACTCACAACCAACCCCCCCCCCCCCCCCCAACAAGCATGTCACAAAAGGCAACTAATCAGGGATTGGCTGACACCAGATGTGTTTGGTTGAACTGTGCAGATATTGCAGCCTAGCTGTAAACCACAACAATGTGCTAACCACCCTTGTAACGAAGAATGCAGAAGAAGAAAAAATCTATCAATAGAATGATAAATTATTGAGGTGGCTATCCCTTTTCTTCCACATTCACATAAACTGCAATACATTAGTTTGTGTTTGGTAAGTAAAGGATCACTCACTCCTACTATGGTCAGAAAACCTCCCTATAGGCTCCAGCGTACTTACATAGATGACATGCAGATAATGTCAGTGTGTCACAGAAGCTTCATTGAACTGACAAGGATCCACATATTGTAAATACTGTTTGGTCGGTTTTCTCAGTTTCAATAATCACCAGGGCAGCAACCTGTAGAAGCTAATCATTCTAGTTCCTCTTCTGACATTCTGAATGTTGACATAATACAGTGGAGTAGCATGGCACGTCAACCCCCCAGGAATGAAGACACTTTCTGCAGTACACATGCCAGTGAACTGATTTGATTGACAACAAAAGTGCTAATGATGTCATGAATTTGTTTGCAGAATTTTCTTTATTTGACAAAAAGTCATTTGATACAAATATCAACTATGTGACCTTATTTTTTGCAAGACAATGTTGTCCTTGACTTTTTCCAGTTGGCATTAGTAAAATTGTGTTCAAGAATATGGAAGCAGCTGGCCACGGAACAAAACATGTAAACATTTCAAATTTCTATATTTTTATATTGTCAAAACAATATTTAAAAAAATAAAAAATATTAGTGACAGCTACTATGTATGGAGCAAAGAAACACACATTTAAGTGATAAGTGTGAGAAGTAAAACTGGTTTCCTTCTTCCTGACTTTTCTGATCAAATGAATATGAGATATTTATAATATACAGTCAGTATTTTCTATCTGATGATTGTCAGCCGTGATTTAGGTTTTTTTTTGTATTTCCATATCTGTGGAAGGATATACTCATCTGTGGATATAAGAATAAAATTGTGCAATACATCGTTCATCAACAGATCTAAGGATACAGCAGTATCTATGCAAGAATATACTCAACAAAGATGTTAGCATTTCAACAAAGATGTTAGCATTTCAACAAAGATGTTAGCATTTCAACAAAGTTGTTAGCATTTCAACAAAGATGTTAGCATTTCAACAAAGATGTTAGCATTTCAACAAAGTTGTTAGCATTTCAACAAAGATGTTAGCATTTCTACAAAGATGTTAGCATTTCTACAAAGATGTTAGCATTTCAACAAAGATGTTAGCATTTCAACAAAGATGTTAGCATTTCAACAAAGATGTTAGCATTTCAACAAAGATGTTAGCATTTCAACAAAGATGTTAGCATTTCAACAAAGATGTTAGCATTTCAACAAAGATGTTTGCATTTCTACAAAGATGTTAGCATTTCAACAAAGATGTTAGCATACACTGCACAAGAATCCACTTAACCGTGATGTAAAAATATGTATAGTTGATTGATGTTTCCTGCTTTACAAAGCTTGTAGCCTAGACTTAAACATGTGAAACAAAATTTAGAGGCATTTTTGATGTGTATATTGCCACCTTACGGGTCAGAAACATTGTTGATGTGTATGTTGTCACCTTACGGGTCAGAAACATTGTTGATGTGTATGTTGTCACCTTACGGGTCAGAAACATTGTTGATGTGTATGTTGTCACCTTATGGGTCAGAAACATTGTTGATGTGTATGTTGTCACCTTACGGGTCAGAAACATTGTTGATGTGTATGTTGTCACCTTACGGGTCAGAAACATTGTTGATGTGTATGTTGTCACCTTACGGGTCAGAAACATTGTTGATGTGTATATTGCCACATTACGGGTCAGAAACATTGTTGACGAGTCTTGTGTGCCTTATTATATGGTGGTCATAGAGATGAGTCCTCTTTAGAGCAGACATTGTGACACTGGCCATGGTTTCCAGTCAAACCCAGCCTAAAATAAGTATCAGCAAATGTTCTGGGAAGTAAAGGTGGCTGGTATAGTATTAACCACATCACCCATTAAGTGCTGATTAGTTTCTGAAACTTTATGACTAGCAGTATATACCAGAAATACATTTGAGGCATCAGATGTGTCTGTTCCTTTGATTGCACCTAATTTGTCTGTTCTAATGTCACATTTATCAATTAGCTTTGTCTCTGTTTAGGATACTATAAGAGGCGCTTGTTCTAATGTTACATTTATCAGTTACTTTTGTCTCTGTTTAGGATACTGTGAGGTGTGTTTGTTATATTTATCATTTTGTTACATTTTTCAATTACTTTTATCTCACTCAGTGAGATGTGCTTATTTTCAGATTACATTTATCATTACTTTTTTCTTTGTTTAGGACACTTTGCGAGATGTTTACCTTGTGTCTACGAGTACAGAGTGGCTGACAGCCATATTTACTATAACGTACGTGTTGACATACTACAGGGACTTTTCCTTCATACGCTTCAATTTCCCCAGTGTACACATTAGGAATGAACAGGTTTGTTACTTATTAATTATTGCTTTTCAGTTGTTACATGAATCCAAGGCTAAATTCAGTCTTACACTTTCACCTTCACTTTTAACATTTACTCAAACATTAGTGTTATATAGTTCCAGAAAATGTACGTTTTGCAGATTTTTAAAATGGGTAAAGTAGCAATAAGGTGAACTCTCATGTGGACTAACCTTAAATGTTTTCCAATAAATGTAAAAATGACCAATTTGATGCTGGCCACATGACCCTCAAAGTGGGGACTAGCACCACAAACCACAGGACGAAGTGGTTTGAAACTGTTATCTTCTGCAGCTGTGATGATTGCAATATCTTGTGTTAGTTCTACTGAACCTCTGCAGCTGTGATGACTCTGCTATCCTGTATTAGTTTGACTAAACTTGTGCAGCTGTGATGACTCTAGTATCCTGTATTAGTTTGAATAAACTTGTGCAGCTGTGATGACTCTAGTATCCTGTGTTAGATTTCAGCAGGAAGTCAGAAACATGATATTAACCATTGTAAAGCAGGAAGTTACTGGCTTGAGTTAAACTCATGGAACTGTCTACCAAAGTGTTGCCAAGAACTCATGAAACTGTCTACCAAAATGTTGCCAAGAACTCATGGAATTGTCTACCAAAGTGTTGCCAAAAACTCATGGAACTGTCTACCAAAGTATTGCCAAGAACTCATGGAACTGTCTACCAAAGTGTTGCCAAGAACTCATGGAACTGTCTACCAAAGTGTTGCCAAGAACTCATGGAACTGTCTACCAAAGTGTTGCCAAGAACTCATGGAACTGTCTACCAAAGTGTTGCCAAGAACTCATGGAACTGTCTACCAAAGTGTTGCCAAGAACTCATGGAACTGTCTACCAAAGTGTTGCAGAGAACTCATGGAACTGTCTACCAAAGAGTTGCCAAGAACTCATGGAACTGTCTACCAAAGTGATGCCAAGAACTCATGGAACTGTCTACCATAGAGTTGCCAAGAACTCATGGAACTGTCTACCAAAGTGTTGCCAAGAACTCATGGAACTGTCTACCAAAGTGTTGCCAAGAACTCATGGAACTGTCTACCAAAGTGTTGCCAAGAACTCATGGAACTGTCTACCAAAGAGTTGCCAAGAACTCATGGAACTGTCTACCAAAGTGTTGCCAAGAACTCATGGATCTATCTACCAAAGAGTTGCCAAGAACTCATGGAACTGTCTACCAAAGTGATGCCAAGAACTCATGGAACTGTCTACCATAGAGTTGCCAAGAACTCATGGAACTGTCTACCAAAGTGTTGTCAAGAACTCATGGAACTGTCTACCAAAGTGTTGCCAAGAACTCATGGAACTGTCTACCAAAGTGTTGCCAAGAACTCATGGAACTGTCTACCAAAGAGTTGCCAAGAACTCATGGAACTGTCTACCAAAGTGTTGCCAAGAACTCATGGATCTATCTACCAAAGAGTTGCCAAGAACTCATGGAACTGTCTACCAAAGAGTCGCCAAGATAGCGCCATGTTGATAATGCAGGCTTGGGTAGTTCCCATGTACTTATATACGGACAGATAGACAGACATATTTTTCATACATACATGCATACACACATATACACACACCCATAAACATACCTACATACATACATACACACACACATACATACATATGTACATGCATGCATGCTTTGGTATTGCTTTTGTTGATCTTTTTCTGAAATGTTGTGGTTTGATTTTATTTCCAGAATCCTAGTTCAAGTTCAGGACACACTGGTAGAGTTGACGTATAAAAAATGAACAGACTGTGCAGATTCTGTGTGAGCAGAATAAAATGATCAGCTGTGAGATTACTTGAGATTACTTAAGATTACTTGAGATTACTTAAGATTACTTGAGATTACTGTCATTCTGATTCTCCATGAGCTGACAGCAGGGCAGCTCTTCTGACAGTGTCACAAGTTTATTCACCTTTCTCATCTGGGATGCTGGGTTCGGGTACTTAGCAAGCTTGTACTGTTCAATCTTTGAATTTGTGCATGGGAATCTGAACTATTAGAGAAGGTTAGGTTTTTTAAAAATATATGTGTATGAAAAAGTGAGTGTCAAGGTTTATGTGAAAGTAGAATATTTGGTTATGTCTACACTTCATTGATTTGCTGACTCAAATCTGCATGAAACTGAAAAACTCCAACTGATCAGTATTCTAGTGCCTCACAGATCGTCAGTAGTTTCATTTCTGAATTTTGCACTTAATTAGTTTCACATCTACTTGCATTGAACTATAGTGCTTACATTCTGTCTTCCCACATAGATTTGTTACTCTCTAATGCCCTTCCATAGCTTTCTTATTATCCTGTTCCTATAATTTTGTCCTGTGAATAAATTAACCCCCTCCCAGTAAAGTCATGTTATTTATTTGTTTATTTCCAAAAATAGTCGTGCATTAATTTATTTCATTGCATAAAAATATGATATTTATTCTTCAAGCATAGATCTGTACTCTCTCTCTCCAAACATAGATCTGTACTTTCTCTCTCCAAACATAGATCTGTAAATCTCTCCAAACATAGATCTGTACTTAAGATCTATACTATCTATCCAAACATAGATCTGAACTCACTCTCTCTCTCCAAACATAGATCTGTACTTTGGATCTATACTATTTCTCCAAACATAGATCTGAACTCTCTGTCTCCAAACATAGATCTGTACTATCTCTTCAAGCTTAGATCTGTACTATCTCTCCAAACATAAATCTATGTCTCCATGCTTAGATCTGCACTATAAATCTGTACTATCTTTCCAAACATAGATCTATATAGTGGATCCTCTCAACTTTTAGCTCGAAGGAACGAGGCTATCACCACGGCAGCGCTGTACCCAGACATGAAGTACTTTAACTTCAGACATAGAAGATCTACACTCTTTCACTAATTAAAAAAAAATATGAAGTACTTCTAGTCCTGAAATTGTTTTTATTTTTCCTGACTTCTCTGACCATATTTGGAGGCTGGTCTGGGAAAGCCTGTAGCAAGGGACAGTAACTCTCATAAGCTGTGTCTTTCATTGTCTCCTGTTAAACATTTTAATGTTTCTTCCAGAATTATAAAAATACAGTTTAATACAAAAATTTGTAGAAAAACAAACTTTAAGCACTAACTATTCATTAATCTCACTAAAATAGAGAAATCCTGATCCAGTGATAGCAGAAACAAATTCTCCATCCTGAAGTTAAGCCACCCGGAGAAAACTTGTTTGTGCCAAAACTGCTTTTGCCACATGTTAGCCAAATCAAGCTGATCTAAGTGATTATGCATTCCATTATATACATAATCATTTATTAATTTTTTTACATTTGTTTTTAAAAGCGAAAATATTGATAATAAACCTGCATTGATTTTCATACATATTGTACCACCATCTGTGACAATCAGCATTCCCACTGTTTGCCTCTTGAGCAGTCGGAGCCTGCTGGGTTTCCTGGTTGCCATATTGTTGAGTTTGCAACATCCATCATCTGTTACTTTTAAGTAATCACAAATGTGTGCAATTTTTATCAGATCTGCCTCATGCTCACAAGCTGTTTAAATTGTAAAATATGTTGCCCGAAGTGTAAAATATGTGCTGTTACCAGGAGTGTAAAATCTGTGCTGTTACCACAAGTGTAAAATATGTGCTGTTGCCCGAAGTGTACAATTATATTGTAAAATACCACTATATTTCTAATATTTTTAGTGCTGTTAACCTCTCCATCCACATTAATTATGAAGTGAAGCGTTAGTGTGAAGAGCTGGTGTGAAGCGTTAGTGTGAAGAGCTGGTGCTGTCTTGATCACTTTCATATGGTACACTGCTGCACACACCTAGGGTAATACCAGAATATCTTTGTAATTACTTATTGCACATGGGCAGTAATTTGAGAATGTAATGATTACTTATTGCACATGGGCAGTAATTTGAGAATGTAATGATTACTTATTGCACATGGGCAGTAATTTGAGAATGTAATGATTACTTATTGCACATGGGCAGTAATTTGAGAATGTAATGATTACTTATTGCACATGGGCAGTAATTTGAGAATGTAATGATTACTTATTGCACATCTACAGCAATGTGAGAATGTAATAATTTCTTATTTTACATCTATTGTAGTATCAAAATGTAATAATTACTTACTCCACATCTATGTTAATGTGAGGTGATAATAATTATACATATGCAATATTTAATTGTATGAGTTTATATCAAGGATTATGTGAGGAAATGATGTTAACAAATACTTATTGTGTAATGAAAAGAGAAACAACAAAATTGACAAGTAACAAGGAAATTGTAATAGATGGTTCTAGAAAAATAATTGTTTTTCCGGAAATATTGAATGCTCACACATAACCCAGTGCAATTTTATGGTCAAATATCCATGATTTTTATTTGTTTATTAATATAAATGTTGGCAAGAAGTTGACATAATTGGAGGCCCATATTGTACTGCTACACACAGATTTTTTTTTTGGAGGAAGGGCAGTATTGTAGATTATATTTACTGTCACACAAAAAATGTCAGTAACATCAGAACAGCAGTTTGTAAAAAAAACATTACAACACATTCTTGTTGAACACAGCTGGAAATTTGTTTTCTTGTGTATTGCAATAAATGTTTTATCACAACATAAAAAAAAAAATGATTATCCCCCTGCAGTATCACATTCTGAAAATAGCATCCAGTGACTCAAAGAGCATCTGTTTGGGTAAGAATTCAACAGGAGTAAATGTTCGAAACCCCTTCTGTCTGTCTATTCTAATCTGCATCATTTATATAATTTTGTTGGCAGCAAGATAAGTGTTGGCACCTTATGTTGGCACCTTTCCTTCTTTCCAGATGATAGCGTTATACTGTTTTTTGAGGAAATTGGGACTCACAGCCCATGGCAATGGCAAGTGTGACCAGCAAGACCCACCCATGTCACCATCCATGTCACCACCCATGTCACCACCCATGTCACCATCCATGTCACCACCCATGTCACCACCCATGTCACCACCCATGTCACCACTCATGTCACCACTCATGTCCCCACCCATGTCACCACCCATGTCACCACCCATGTCACCATCCATGTCACCACTCATGTCACCACCCATGTCACCACTCATGTCACCATCCATGTCACCACCCATGTCACCACCCATGTCACCATCCATGTCACCATCCATGTCACCATCCATGTCACCATCCATGTCACCACCCATGTCACCACCCATGTCACCACCCATGTCACCACCCATGTCACCACCCATGCCACCATCCATGTCACCACCCATGTCACCACCCATGTCACCATCCATGCCACCACCCATGTCACCACCCATGTGACCACTCATGTCACCACCCATGTCACCACCTATGTCACCATCCATGTCACCACTCATGTCACCACTCATGTCACCATCCATGTCGCCATCCATGTCACCACCCATGTCACCATCCATGTCACCATTCATGTCACCATCCATGTCACCACTCATGTCACCACCCATGTCACCACCCATGTCACCATCCATGTCACCATCCATGTCACAACCCATGTTACCATCCAGGTCACCACCAATGTCACCACCCATGTCACAAAAACTCTTCCACAATATTAGCCTGGGATTTCAGGGCCCTTGCTGCCATTGCATGTACTTAGTGTGCATCTTCTCAGACACTCATCTCTCATCCTTTCTGCAGTCATTTTTCTCTTTCATTACCATTCCCTTCCTTAATTTCTTCCTCCAAGCAACATGGTCCATGGCATTATGTTTCCACAAATCTATCTTAGTACCCGTATCATTCATGTGCCATTTGTACACATCTTTATATTGTAGCAGAGGCCAGCTTCAACACTTTCTACCCATCTGTTATTCACCACAGAGGATGTCCTTAGGGACTCTACCATCCTCCACTCTCCGGTTGTGACCAGCCACCTGTGCCTTCAGAGACTGAGCATTGAGAAAACTGTTGTAGTGCCTGTTCTCTCCAATACTTCAGTGTTTGTGTAGATGACAAGGGACACAATTACATGTTCTCTGTCTGTTCTCGGACTGTAAAGTTACCACACATCTCAACAGTTTGTCTGTCTTGTTAACTTGTGTGTGTGTGTGGCAAATTGATGACCACCATCTGTTGGTAACTTGTTCTCCTTGATGAGTCTTTAGACAATAATAATTTGCAGTATTATTTTCTAGGAATACTGTAATAACCTTTTCTCTCATGTTTGTTTTCCATTTTTTTCATTTTATTTCATGTCTAAATACAGTTTCATCTGTTTATAAATCACAACACTTCTGCCGCTTACTTTCTTTGTATCTATTTTTACCTTTTACCGCCCTTTTCAGGACGACATTTTTCGTTTTTTAAAGCCCTACTCTGGCTTTTGCCAGGGGCCGCAATATAGCCCGGCCATAAATATCGCCTAAAGGCTGAACGCGGTTTCTGGGACCTCTCCACGGTGATCCTCATCCACATGGTGGCACATTGTGTCATCGGGTGTTTATCGCTTGTGTGATGTCCTGGTGGGGTAGAAAGTCAGTCTGTCAGTGCTTACTTTTCAAAATGGGGTGGAAAAATTGTTTTATTAAAACAGTGTTTAGCTGACAAATCAGGAATATGTTGGGCAAAATGTTTAGTTGCCAATGTGTTAAACTTATTGGCCTTTTGGCTAAGATCAACGTGTAGCTCTGCTGAACTGGTCTGGCCAAGAGGACAGGGATCAGTCACAACCAAGTCACGGGTAAAACCCAAACGA